ACTTTTTCTAGGGGAAAGGCCTTACATGTTCTCAATCTGTATGAAGTTTGGAGAAATATTAATATAAAGAATTTTACAGATAAGAGCACTCTGCATACTGAGCAGTAGTTAAGTATAGTCTTTTAACTCAAAAACACCTGGGCTCAGATCCTGTTTCTGACATATACCTTGTTTTTGTGTATGGATTTTTCATAAGTGACCTTACATCCTTTCTGAACATGGGATATACATTTTTTCTTAATTGGCAGCAGGAAAGTTCAGTAAATAAATAGCTAAAAGGTTACTATAATAATCCATATATGAGATAAGTAGGACCATGGTGAGGGCAATAGAAGCAAAGTGTGGTATAGGTGTGTTACCATCACTGTCTCCAAATATACACTTCATATAGATGGCTTACAAATAGCATGAAGAAGCCAATATTACTTTGTAGGTTACCATTTCTTTAATTTCAGATAATTTATTTTTACTCACTTGATTTTGGCAGAAGTTTTAATATTAGCCACCCTTTGGATTTCATCTTTCAGAGTCATTTCAACATTGATTTCAATGTCTTCCTCTCCCTCTTTGCCAGAATTTAGCCTTGAGGGAAAAAAAAAGTATCGCAATATCATTTTTTTAGAAGCACCTTTGATCTTACTTGAGTTCAAAATGTGGCCCAGGGACCAACAAGCTGTGTGATTCTGAGAAAGTTACTTAACCACAAAGGATTATCATAAGAACTAAACAATGCAGTTAATGTGGAAACACTTTTTGAACTACAGTGTCATAAATATAAAGTATTATTTCACTTAATATGTATCCTCAAAAATGGATTCTGAATGCAACAACTCAAACAAGTTCCTGTAACAAGTCTCTATAATTCAAATGAAATGTTTCTGGCATACTTTTCTAACTTCAGGACTTAAAAAAAAAAAAAAAAACCTCATTAACCTACACCTAACAATCCAACCATGTCAAATAAACCAGAGTAGCTCTCAAAATATTTGTCAAATCAGCTGACTTTTTATCTCTTTGAGACTTGATAAACTTGGTCTTCTCTAGCTTTTAACAGTAACTGGTCATAGAGAAAATATTTCCTTAAAGTCCATTTTTTTCAGTAACATGTGGCCCACCCAGAATACTTCATTATTAATAAATATTAATAAAACACACTTTGCTTTCTTTCTAGCTTTCTTCATCTTCTTATCCATTTTCTTCTGAATTTCCTCTTTGGAAAGGATATGAAACACTTCTAGTACAGAATCAGTTCCCTAGAAAGGCAAAAGGTTGAAGTGAGAGGGGAGGCAATTTGTAATTTAGCTTATTCCCAGTTAGAACTAAACAACAACATTTATTTTTTTTCTTCCTTTACTAGTTGTAATACCTTAGGCAACTTAACCTCTCTGGATTTGTTGTCTCACCTGTAAAACAGGATACCACTTCCTACTCACAATATTGCTCTGAATACCAAACAAGGAGTTAAATGCTTTTAAACTGCTTAGAAAAGCCAGCATTCAATAAATGGTTGCTAATAATATGAAAAAGAAAGCAAATTTTTTTGTTGTTGTTATGCTGATAGAAGCTAGGGATTATAGGTCCAGTTAGCATATATTGAATTATTAACATGATTTTAAAAATTCATTTCTACACTGAATAGGAAAGAAGAATGAGTATTTGAAAGGAACAGCCTATTCCTTGTTATTTTCTCCTAAGTACTTACATGGCAAGCAAGAATCCTGCCTGTCTTGTCAATTGAGAGATTCACAACTCTGTCTCTTCCTTCTCGCATTATGGAACCAGCTTTTCTGCATGAAAGGATACGCTACAGAAGCAGCAAGAGAAGAAGGTTAAATGTAAATTCTGCTAAACCTA